GTAGTGGTCTCTTGTCTTGCGCATTTTTTTTTTTTAACTTGGTTGGGGAGCGGTGAACAAAAATATTCTGGCAAGTGAGTCGCAACGGGCTTTCCTGGCACCATGGGGATCCTCCCCGGGGAATTTAACTCCCTGCAGTCCTGAGCCCAAGGATGTAAAAATAACAGATCCTCAGCAAAGTCTAAAAATATCTGTTTCTCTTGCTCTTCCTCCCACCTTCCTTTGCTGTCCTTTGTTTCTCCCTGTATCATTCCTCACAGCATTTTAGCTCTGGCAGACCCCGCTCTCCCTGGATTTCAAACTAGGAATCGGTGTGCCTGCCCATTCTAATCTTCACTTGCCTAGTTCTCTGTCTAATGCCCTAAAGATGAATCTAGCAAACTTCGGAATTCATTTTCTTTACAGTGGACCACCACCTCTACTCAATACTTCAATCTCCATCTTCAGACCTCCTTGCAAAGCCCAGGAGACCCAGGGCATGTTGGCAGTGCTTGAGTGATTTTTTTTTTTTTTTCGGTGCCCTGCCCGCCTCCCGGGCCCTTCTGTAGAAGATCAGATAAATTAGCCTTTGTTTGAGACTTGGGTTGGGTTAAGCGGGTTTCTACTCCCTTTCTCCCCCTTTTTCCTGGCGGCCACCTCCTTGTGGGACAAGAGGCAGCCTGGGGATCCGAGGGAAGCTGCATTCCTGTGGGTGCCAGGCGGCTCCAGTGCTGAGCCACAGGGCCTGAGACACACACACACTGAACAACCCGCAGACCTCGCTGCCCTTGATCTCACTCTCTTGCTTGCTCTTTCCCTCGCGTCGGGCATCTACTCGGGAGCCAGTCCACTCCCACTCGGATCCACCCAGGATTCGGCCTCGCGTAGGAGAGCTTTGACCCACACAAAGATGTACACGCATCCCCTCCCAGTGACACCGGCCAGAACAGCATCTCTCCGCCTAAGGACAACCTTCTCTCTCCCGCCCCTGATACCACAACCCTTGGCGCGCCGGCTTGCCCCACCATGGCTCCTTTGATGGCCCCGGACGCCCAGTGGCTCGCGGTGTCCTGGCTGTGCGGGTGAGAGTTACCCACAGCGCGCCTAGGCCGGACATTAGAGCTCTCTGCCGCGTCCACACAGTTCAGTATCTAGCACTATGCTGCCCGAATTGCCCTGGATGCCTGCTGGAAACTGCTCTGCACTCGCCTTCTGCTTCACGCTTCCTGTTGTTCCCAAAGAGGGACCTTTAGGACTACTCTGCCACCCGCTCCCGGCCCCCTCCCCCACCTCCCTCTTCCAGCCCCTCCC